ACTGTCAGTCCTCTACATTCCTCTCCTTAACACCCACCAAATATCTTCTCATCATCTCTGTTCACCTACTTGTCTATTATGGTTTGCAACATTAACATTCATCAGTATTTACAAGACTATTCACATACTCTTTCTTCAAGATTGCCCCTACTCCATTTTATGTTGGATGTCCATCCTAACATGACCCTTCCCAGGGACCAGCACTAGTAGTACACTGACTACTCGCTGCCCTGTGGTCGCGTTTGGTGTTCTTGCTGCGCCTTTCCAGCAAGAATACCAAATTCAAGACATGGAGTGAATGAATGAGAATGGGAGACCCACCCAATTACAGCCATGTGAAGAAAGCAACCTGCAAATGTACTACCTACATAAAGCAGAGACAGGAGTTCAAAGTGTACAGGGTGGCACTGTAACCTGATTGGCTACAGTAAGAACATAAACTCATGCTATCTGTTTGGGAGCATGTTTGTGTTGACTTGAGCCTCATATTGATCTCCAATCTCAGTAAAAATCTGTGTTGTTTATGAAGGCCTGGGTTGTAAGGCAGTGGTTTCACTGGTCACAACTAAATATGAACGGCAGAAGAGGCCAGCTGCCTCTGCTTTGCCAGCAATACCCTGTAGGTGGTGCTCTAGTAGAAGAACTCCAGGAAAATGAAAAAACAACTGAAGGATGATGATGCAGCTGGTGTTGGTGGTTTTGATAAACAGAGTAACAAGTGCACTTAAAATTCAAGTTAATGTCAAAGTGCAATTAAAAAAAGCAAATATTTTAAAACAAAAATAGCCAAAGGGAATGAAGTCCAGCACAGACAGGTCAAAAATCATCTGTCTTGTTGGTGCTTTTGGCAGATTTCAGCCTGTAAATATCGTCAAATATCGATGATGTGACTATATACGAGATCATCTAAGTAAAAAAATGCACACACATGAAGTATGTAATAAACACACATCTTCAAGACACGTTACTGTCTCTGTTTATAGCAGTGAAGACAAACAGGAAATAAGTCAAAGCGTTGGTTAGCAGTTTGGTTACTGTGTTTTTCCTCATCAACGGCGATACTGTTAAACTGAGAGGACGTATAGGCACAAGCAGCTTTTCCTGCTCACCAAAAACTGAAAAAACACAGGTGAGTCCTGCTGGTTCCTCATCCTCAAATCATCTGTATTTCTACTGATTTCATACTTAACTTAAAAGATGACTTTTAGCAGCTCTTGCCACAGGAAAGAGAAGCACTTCACACAGCTACCTCAGGACCACAGCTTCCTTCTGCCAGTGTTCAAGATTCAGTATATATAAGATAAGATAAGATAAGATAAGATAAGATAAGATAAGATAAGATAAGATAAGATAAGACTTTATTGATCCCAGAATCGTCTCGTATTCAGAGAAAATATTACGTGTTTCGTCTTGAGGTGAAAAGAAATGCAGTTTGTCCCGGACTTCAGCTACAATGAAAAAGACACACAGCTGGAGTTATTCTGTGTTTGCTGCACAGCTGCCTC